GCAGAAACTAGTCATGGGTGCATGCAAGTGATAGTTACCAAAACAAGGAGATATCCTCTAGGAAAGGAAAGGACATGTAGAGATACATGCGTTTTTTTTTTCTAGTGTTCTTAATTTGTCTGAAAATTTTTAAAAAGTTAATTATTTTGAGACGGAGGGAGCAAGTGTCAACCCATTTTAACCTCACATTTGAGGCATCCCATTCCTCTATTTTTTTCCACTTCGTAGAACGACAAACACAGACGCTTGTTTTTTTCACAATATAGATAGATCAATATTTTCTTAAAATTGGATTTTATCTCCTTTGATTTGTTTACTATGTTTTTGTGTTCTTTACATTCTTGTATTGAAGCATATTTGTATTTTATCATTTGAATTTTAACCTTAAATGTAAATGCATTGTGTGGTTGGCTCCATGTGTTTCCTTTTTTTTTTTATGGGCTTCATGTTTTTTTTAGTATATAATGGCATGATTGTGTAATAGAGGAATAGATATAAGGATATTTTGGGCTATTTTTATACGTAATGATAGTTGATGGCACTTTGATTTTATTTTGTTCAAGTAATGTGGTGATTTGTAGGCTTTGAGATGAGCATGGAGACTCCGGTTGACCAAATTCAAGACAACGGATTATTCGAGTATTGACGATCTCTCATTTTATTCGTTATGAAGTGGTTCTTTTCAAAATTTATCATCGAAAGTATCTTCCAATACGTACTAAGGTCACAACGGTTGCCAGTAAAAAAACTCAATCCAAACAAAACCCCCGAATCACCGTAGCTCCATGAGATGAAGCCGGCCACAAACCTGTGCTTTGGATGTGGGGCAAACGAGAGATTTTCCCCCTTGTCGCTACGGCCAAAGCCACAAATAAAGAGTGAGTCCCTTGGGACTCGAACTCTGACCACCCAAGGGGAAGGTACTGAGCCTGCACTGACGACCCGGTTGGCCAGGCCATTCCCACAACGGTTGCTAGTAGAGTATCACTGATTTATGCTTTTATTTAGGGGACAAGTGTGCTTGTCGTGAGGCTACAATCAAACAATGGATTTGCTAGCGCCCAGACGTTCGGATGCCCGCACCTGCAGTCCATTTCGCACGCCCACGCGATGCATGTGCCACCTCGAACGTCACTAGCATCGAGAAGATAGGGAGAGGGCGGCGGATGCCCAACCAGCGCTAGGAGGAGGAGGAGACACCGAGGCGAGGTAGCAGAAAACGAGGAGAGAGATGCAACACCCGACCTACTTTCAAAATATTCAGATGCAACATTTGCAACATATAAATAAACACACTTGCAACATACGTCTAAAAAAACAGATGAAACATTGGGAACATAAGCTTACAACATACGTGTACAACCATTGCAACATATGCAACATCCACATGAAACAGTTACAACATACCTCTGAAACACTTGAAACATATGCTTGTAACGTACGTTTTTCACCATTCTTCTTCCGTACGATGTAGCGCAGAGTGGGTGATGGATAGGCAGAGGGCATCGTTGTTGCGGCCCCTTCTGGAGGCGAGCGGAGGGGGCGGCAGGGACATGCCGCCGGCGAGTTTTGGCCGCACTGCGAGCTACCCCCATTGCAGGCGGGCGGAGAGGGGAGAGGGGAAAGGCCAACAATGGGCGTAGGTCGCCGGTGGGCTCTTGCCGGGCGGGGGCGGGAAGAAGGGGCCGGCGAGAAGCTCTGGCCGGGCGGGGGACAGGAAGAAGAGGCCGGCGGCGGGCACCGGCCGGCGGAGGCGCCGCAGGGGATGGCGCGGGATGGAGTCACCGCGGGGAGCTGAACGAGGAATGGCCACATCTAGGGAGTTTTTTCTTTTTCTTTTGAGAGCTCATCCAGATGAGGCAGACGTATGTGGCGTGGCGTATCATTATGGATCAAACAAGGATAATGCTTCATTACTCTTGGATAACCAATTCCCGTAATACTAATAACCAATTGCATCCGTATTGGAGATTGGACTAACAGAGTCAGTAGGGCACGGATCTTTTGAGGTGAGGGATGTCCTCCGGTCCGGTCCTGCCTTTCCGTGCGTGGAGGCTGCACGCTCACTCCTCGCTCGCTGGAGTTAGGTGTTTGTGTATCGCGGCAGTGTCCAGCGTGTGGCCTCTTCCCCGGCTGCCGTTGGCATGAGTCCATGACCGCATGAGTGCATGACCGTTCTCCGTCCGCCGCCTGTGCAATCGCTATCCAATGTTCATTCCACTATCTGAGCGCTCGACGAGCGGACGAGTTGGGTGCCGCACCCGCACACCACGGCGGCGAGAAACCGATGACGAGTCAGAACTCAAGGATGCTGCTTCTGCGTGTATCACTGGGCCAATTGCCAACAAGAGGGAGCAGCTGTGCAGTCCAGCCCATCACAGAGGGCAAGAGGGACTACGGAGAGGACGGCTTGGGCTGGGCGTGGGCAGCTACACACATTTGGGCTCAAATATGTATAGTCTGGCCCAGTAACGAGTATGCACATATTCCTTCCTTAGAAAAAATGTAATTCTTGCCCTTCCGTAAAAAAAATTGTAATTATTGCTTTTTAGGAATCAAACAATTTTAATTAAGTTCGATCAAATCAAATCAATAAAAATAGTAATATTTATGATACATAACAAGTATTATTAGATTAATCATATAACATATTTTTAGATTAAACATAGTAAGACATAAATGTGATACTATTTTCTATAAACTTGAATAACTTAAAAAATGACTTGGTTCAAATCTAGAATTATATTCTTTTTGTGATGAAGACGGTATGCATATGCACCTTAACTGTAATTTTTTGGGTACAAATCATTTGGTATACCCATTGCCATATAATGTAGAGAGAATTTCTTATTTGACCTTTGGGAAAATGCCATATAATTTGTATCCACCCTTGCAGTGGGTAGATAGGTGATGGTAAGAAAAAAGCGGGCGAACCAAGAAAAACTCGATGCATGCCTCACTTTGCAAAAAAAGACCAAATGTGTACTTACATTACTCCTCTATTTTCAAATTATAAGATGTTTTGACTTTTTCTCTCTTAATACCTTGCGGTGGGTAATGGGTGATTATTATACACTTAGATATATATTATCTATTTCAAATTATAGATACATTTCTAAATACATAAATTTTGTATACACTTAGATATATATTATGTTTAGATACAAAATAAAAATGATGTACCTAGAAAAATCAAAACGTCTTATAATTTGAAATTACGATCCATTTACTCGATGAACCTACAAGACGTGGTGGGCTGGGGCACAAGAAGGAAACGTGCTAATAAGAGGACAGTGGCACCAGCTGAAGTTCAGGAAGAAGGAAGGAAAAGAATCTCAAAGCCAAGAAACGCATCTCAGGCCCAGAATGGAGAAGACCTATAGAGCCCATTAACGGGTCAGGCGCTGAGGACGCCTTGAAAAGAGAGGAAGAGGGTAAGAAGGACATTGGATCTTGGCATTGTAAGAACTGAACCCAGCCGGTGCCTGTGGTGTCGGCAGGCACGGCTGTCGCCGGTGAAATGAGAACCTACCAAATTCCCTAATTCTACCTCCGATCCCTAGTTGTCTGTAACAATGACATCAACTTGTTGGTGAATTGATTCTAACCGTCTGCAGCTTGTCCTACTGTCCTACAAGATCCGTTCGTGGGATCCTGCAAAACACGACCCAAAAAAATCACCGGGGCTGGAATCTTTTCCAAGCACAGCTACCAGTTACCGGCGCCAGCACACAACCTACTTAACAAACGAAATGCAGCTCGCTGAGGAAATGGCAGGATAGCGCAGGCACGCAGCATATGGCCGGCAAACGGTCCAGGTGACCACAAAACCGCTGCCCTACTATACTCATGACCATGATGTGGGGCGTGGGTGCTTGAGAGCCTGGGCTCCAAACCTCAAATGGCTCTGACTGCCAATCTCTCGAGCGCACCAGCTACCTCTTTGGGAGGTCAGAGCGTACCAGGGGAGTGCTGCCGCTGCTGCGTACAGACTGGATCACAGGTACGGGGCTGGATCTTGCTGGCCGAGTGCGACGAAGGGTAGAAAGGTGCTTCTTGTCCCCCTCCGTCCGCCGCCAAGATCCGTCAGAAAGGTCGGAGAAACTTTACGGTTCAGAATGCGATGGCACTCGCCCTCGCCGGGGAAGCGCGCGACTCACTCGTCCTGTGCCTGTGGCGAGGGATCAACAGAAGTCTCCGGCTTCCCAGAGGCGAGTAGAGAGGGCAGCGCGGTTTTGATCCAATCTTGAACTCATGGGCTTTGGGCTGGACGAGGAAGTGGGTTGCCTGCGTCCGAGGCTACCGGGCCCAGCCTGGCATTTTGCTCGTGGCTAAATTCAAAATCCCAAGCCAAAATCCGACCGACCGGCACGATAACGAGTTTCTCTTGCGAAATGCAGCGTCTTTCAAGCAAACGTCATGCACATGGCGTCTTCTGTTAAATAAAAGAAATATTGCTCAAAATTGCTTGGCAAACAACTAGCTGTGTGCCAAGTTCGCTCGACTAATAAACCATGACCGAAAATATTGTTGGCTGATTTGTTAAGAGAAAAAATAATTATTTGTTAACTGAAAAAGTACGACTTATAAAACAAGCGAACACGAACAACACGAACAAGTTACCGGAGCCATGCTTCGACCCGGGAAGCTGCGAGGACAGACAAGAATAACAGGATGCACATGCACCGAGTTGGACACACGCTTTTTTTTTTTGTACAACAGTACACGAAACAACGAACAGTCAAACTTACGGCCTGAGATAAGAGCAGTTCTCTATACAAACAGTTCGTCATTTTGGCGGCAAAATCTACGTCAAGTCACGGTAGAGTTCAAAATCAAAACCTAGGAAGGCAACCACTCCTTCACTACAGATCATGCGTCGACAGGGCAGAGACGGAACCAGATCAAAACGACACCGACGAAGCAGAGTTGCAGCACCTCCGCGTTGCTCGCAGGGGCAGAGCTCAGAAGCCCGGCAGGTGCGCGCGTGGTGGCGCTGGCTACATGTCCTGCACTAATCTGGACGGCGTGCTCGCGGTGGTCGTGTTGCCCCCGTAGCAGCTGCTGTCGCATGACCCCGCCGCCGGGTTCCCCGGTGTCCTCGCCTTCTCCAAGGGGCTCCCGTTGCCCGGCCGAAGACATCGACGATCCTGCAGGAGGATGCGCACAAACGCAGGCACAGCTATAAACACTAAAGAGGACATGGCAGTAGATAGAGTATACTTACACAGGGGACTGAGTATACAAACAGTACGGAAAGCATCTCTGCATCTGACCAACAATAGTTTAGGGGCCTATGGGTGGCAGTAAAACATGGCCCGGATGGTGATATTGTTTTCTTTGGGATAGTTATTCGTTGATGACAGATTAGTTAACATCAAAACGGGCAGTTCAGGCACTGTCCGGACAAGTATTTTACACTTGGTCAGTGGTCAGACAAAGAGCTAAGTAATCAGAGCAACATTGTGCTATTTTAATCCTGATGCGCCTGCTGTCCATGTTTCTTAAAACCCGGATGCAGAGGGTATCACCATTTTAATATTGACAGGCATGAGTGAGACGTTCATGTAGGACAGGACAGGGTACTCGGCACATTATTTTTACCGGCAATTGCGCGGGTTTCACCATATGTAACTCGGGATCGAGTTCAGCATGCATAGAGTATGTTCTCGAGAGCGAATCAGTAGCATGATTGACTTCATATATATACGGTGAAAGAAGCAACTAGCAATAGGGCTCACCTCTCGATACGGGAAGTCGTCGACTTCAAGCATATGGATTACATGTCCCATCTTGGGCCGTTTCTGCGAATCAGGATCCACGCACCTCAGTGCGACCAAGAGAGCCTTCTTCAGCGCCTTGGAGGAAGGCTTCTCCGGCAGCTTCGGGTCGAGGATGGCCTCGTAGTCCCTGTTGGTCACCTTGTTCTTGAGCCATTCTACAAGGTTTACCTGTAACAGTACAGAAAAATCAGGAACTCAGGCAAATTCAGAAGCACATTTCGCATTGCAAAGCATAGCATGATCTCGTTGCTTCATTGAATCACAGACACCACACTGACCTCTCCGGCAGGTCTGGCATAGTCGACGGGGCTTCGACCGGAGATTATCTCCATTATGAGGATCCCAAAGCTGTACACGTCGCTCCTCTCATTCAGCATACCGGTGCTAGCATACTCTGGTGCCACATAGCTTTGAAAAACAGAAGCATTTTGAGAATTGACATCACGCATTTCACCAGAAAGAAGAAGATCAAACATGATTCATCATCAGGGGACCTAAAGCCGCCGGCTCACCCAAATGTTCCCATCACTCTGGTGGTGACGTAGTTGCTGTCTGACCCCAGGAGCTTGGCGAGGCCGAAATCCGAGACCTTAGGGTTCCACCTCCTGTCCAGCAGGATGTTGCTCGACTTGATGTCCCTGTGCACCACCTTCGGCTCCAGCCCCTCGTGCAGGTACGTGATCCTGAATCATCCGTGCCAAATTAATCTCTCATCAGAGACCCATACATACACCACCGGTTCAGAGGTGGTACATGAGCATTGAGCAGAACGAAAGCAGTGGGGAAAAAATAAAAATTCAGGCACCCTTTGGCCATGCCGAGCACGATGTTCATCCGGATGTCCCAGGTGAGTGGGCTCACCGCCCCGACGTCGCCGTGCAGCCACTGCTCGAGGTTGCCATTGTCGACGTACTCGTACACAAGTATCCTGAGATCACAAGCAACGGCCAAACAAATTACCACAAGAAGCAGTGCAGTTATGCAGCCGTCATCAATGCGCAGCGCAGAGGGTTCTGTTTCTGTACCGCTGGGCGCCCTCGGCGCAGTAGCCCAGTAGCCGGACCAGATTCTTGTGCCGGACGCGGCCGATGGCCTCCACCTCCACCTTGAACTCCCGCTCGGCTTGTCCCCTGCATCCGGCGAGCAACGTGCAGCGGGTCAATCCAAAATAAAAGCATCGAACGCACACCGAACGGAAAAGCGCACGCGAGAAAATGCGGGTTGGCAGTGCGCGCCTGTTGTTGAGGAGGTTCTTGACGGCGACTTGGTAGCCGTCGGCGAGGACGCCGCGGTAGACGATGCCGTATCCGCCCTCGCCGACGACGTGCTCGGGGGCGAACGCGGCGGTGGCCTCCTCCAGCTCCCGCAGCGTGTACCAGTGGCCCCAGCCGAGGTGCGACACCTCGGGGCCCACGACGACGGCCGCCGCCGCCGACACGTCGGACGCCACGGGGCCGACCTCCCCGTCGGCGTACGCGACCATGCGTTGGCCCTTGCCGGCCTCGATGTGCACGCGCTGCGACCCGTGCGCCACGGACTCGCCGTCGCCGCCGCCGCCGCCGCCGTCCTTGAGGAACGCGTGGCCCATCTCGAGGTAGTGGCGGAGCGAGCCGACGTGGACGGCCACCTCCTGGATCTCCTTGGACACGGGCGGGATGGTGGACGGGGACAGCGGCGCCGGCGCGTGCACGACGCCCTTCCTGGGCCGCCTCCGCCGCGCCGCGGCGAGGTGGAGGGAGATGAGCACGAGGAGCAGCACGAAGGCGGCCCCGACGGCGATGCCCACGAGCACCCACAGGCGCAGGCCCAGCACCGCCGTCCTGCGCGACAGCTCGTTCCGCAGCAGCGGCGGGGGCGGAGGCGACATTGCCGGAGGAGGCCGGCGGTGCTGCTCCCTCCTGCTCGCCGTCGCAGCCTGCCCGGACGCACACTTGGCGCTACTCCTACCCACCAGGCTCCTCGCTTGCTACAGCTGCATGGTACAGTCACTAGTGACTGATCACTAGGGAGGAGCGACGAGCGAGGACTAGTGACGACTGACGAGGAGGGGCTGCGACTGCGAGAGCACGAGATGATACAGGAAGTTTAGCCGAGGCCCGAGGGGCCGGGCTGGTTTCCTGTGGGCCCGGGAGAGTTGAGCTGGGCAGCGGAAGCGGAAGGTTGTCCGTTTCTGTGCGTGTGGGCCCGTCTGACAGGCGGATCTTGGGTTAAACTAGCCTGGAGTAATTAAGCCATGCTCAGAAAGTCAGAACCGAGGATCTGAGATGATTAAAGCTCGAATTAACTGGCTGCCACTGTAGGGACGTGCAAGTTACTAGTAGAAGATTGGTGATGTTGTCCGCATCGATTTCTCCAACTTGATGTGGACCGTCCATTGGCAGATCGAACGGATGTAACTGCAGCTCCGGGCATCGACGACCCTGTGGTGCAAAGACCAAAAGCGAGCGATTGCAGGGAAACTCTGCACTGCCTACTGTTCTGACTTTTGGCTTCAGCTGGGCAAACTGGCAAAATGCGTGGCGGATTTACCAAAAAGTTTCACTGCGCGATGGCACGACACGTCGACACCAAAAGGTTTCACTGTCCAGTGTTCCCCATCTTTTTTTTTTTTTGAAGAGACTTCACCCTCTTTTTGTGGGAGTGACTACTGGCTACTGTTCACCTACACTGTTTTGAAGAGACTTCACCTTCTTTTTGTAAGAAGTTTGTAGGAAAAATACAAGATTTTGGTCCTATAGGAATCGGCAATATAGTGCCCTTTGGTTGGCAGGATTGAGGCGTAGGAAAATTGAAGGAAAATTTCCTTTGGAAGCCATTTCATGGGAGAAACATGGAAAACGTTTCACAAAAAAAAAGAGAAACATGGGAAACAAAACATCCACTCTGATCTCTAGTTTCCAACACATGCCCGTAGGATCGAGGTAAATGGCAAGAAACATGGGAAACAAAACATCCACTCTGATCTCTAGTTTTCAACACATGCGCGTAGGATCGAGGTAAATGGCAGCAAAATGGTAGAGATGGTAGTGATTGGATATGGAACTGCAGTACTGGCCCACATGCAATTAAGTAGCTTACCTTGATAAAGAAGCTAGTAACTCCAGTATGGATTAACACACGCTATTGTTTCTTACATTTTTCTACACTCGTCGAAACACTCGTTCCAACAAAATTCTTATGTTTTTCATTCCTCTATTTTACATATACATTTCTATTTTATTCTTGTGTTTTTTCTATTCCTACATTCTTTAATCTTACGTTCCAAAGGAGGCCTAAGTGTACACTGCCACTCTGCCAGCCTGCGACTGCGACAATACTTTTTGTGCAATTTTCCTCATTTCCTCACTTCAATCTACTTGTAACTTTGCGAGTGTAGAATGCGATTACTGCAAGGGGACCGATGACACCGAACGTATGGCGTTATGTTAGTTGGCATATTTATACGCGTACCGGCACGGCCCATGGACCAACGAGTGGCCGGCCAATTCATCAGAAGCATTTGCATTTGGTTTGGTCCTATACTTTTATTATGTGCGATGCTAATAATGCACAAGCCTGCGATGCGGGCAATACATGCATCTGCATGCGGTGCCTACGAATACGATGTACTGTGCTGTGCTACTATGGCCAGTACTGCCACTGCCACGACGCAAATGGAGAACAGGCTGTGTGTTGTCCTCCGCCTCTGTCTCCTACACGACTTTTGGCACGCGTCGTCCGCGATCGCATACATATGTACATACGTTTTCGCCCTAATAATACCTTACCCGCATGAATGCATGATCCACCATGCATTTTTTTTATGGTAAATAAACGGAACAAAAAAAAAAAAAGGCGAACGGAACGCGCGTCGCCTTCCACAGTTTGCCGACAATTTTGGTGCAGGCCGGTGATGCGAAATGACGCCGAATGAGTAGCGCTGTCGTTCCAGCACGCAGTACTACCCTGATCTCTAGCGTGCATCATGCATGCCTACCACACAGGCACACACGCTGAGAGAGAACCCTACAAATTGTGAGCGATGACTGAGTGAGGGCGGGGCGACAGGGGAAATGGAGGTCGCGTCGGTGGCAAGATTCCGACGACTCTCAGCAGTGCTTAGTGTTGGGAATGAGTGTGGGAGCACACAAGTTGGTGGTTAGTTTTCTCCCAATAGCCTGCTTAGCTCTCTACGATCATAGATAGGGCAAGTTAATTAATATTATAGTGGCGAATGATCGAATGAGAAAATTTCCCATGCATTTCTGCCCAACGGAAAAACTGCTCATTAGCTTGTCGCCAATTCAGAAAGGAATGTGGTGTGCTCCGTAGTAGTACTCAACTACTCTTCCGTATGTATCTACAGCTGGTAGCTCGTACCATCAGCGGGCGAGGACGTACCTACCGTCCTTTCGACCGCGAAAGATATGGCCCCCGTTTACGTACGATCTGTTGTCCTATACGTAACCGGATACGGTGTCTCTCGGAGCGGCTCTCAATCAATTCTTTTTTTATTTTCAGAATCACGGATAGATTAGATCCCCACGGTATTACTAGATCTAAGCAGACAGTGTACTAAAGATGAGCAGTAATTCTGGTCGATTAGAGGACTGTCTCATCCGCCATCATTGTCAACGTCCGTCCGCTAGCTTCAGGCGCCCTACAGATTCAGCGCGAAGGATGGGGCTCAGTTGGACTGGCACTGGACGGAGCAGCAACTGGCGAGCTGGCGTGATACCTAGAGGAAGTGTACGTCTCGCTCTCAGAGCTACTGCTAAAGCCTTGAGCCCATGACCATCTTCTGCGTGCAGACTGCAGAGTGCATGCAGACCGGTGAACGGCAGCGGCAGCGCCTGCCTCTGCTTCTGCTCCCTCCACGGCAGAGGGGAGCAAGTACAGCACGGCAGGAATTGCTTTGTAGCAACGGCATCCCCCATCCGCACAATCCGCAATGATCTTGGTCCAGGCCTAGCTATTCCAATCCCGCCAGTGCACTCTGACAAGGCCGGGCTGGGCTGGGCTGGGCTTACCTTGCGCGTGCAGTTGTGCTCACGGATTAAGAGAAGCTTCTTCTTCGCTGCTTGTCGACTTGCGCCTGCTCGTTGGCCGATAGCCCCCGTGGGCCTCCCGGGTGTGCTGATGACTGGTGTGCTGCTGGTCAGCTGATGCGCGGGCGGCCGAGCGCGACCCGTGGAGGTGTTCTTGCCGCGCGCCCGATGGACACCAGTACTGTACGTCTTATGCGTGCCATCCGCAAAGCTACGCCCGGTTTGGTCTCTTGCGAGTTGAGCGAATAGAGTGCAAGCCACCGAGAGCTCTGCGGAAGAGCCGGCGGTTCAGTTACGGGTCGCCGTCACGCCGGGCTGGTGTTCTGTTCTTTCCCTCCCTGCTGCTTCTGTGTACAGGATCTCTGTACAGCGAGCACACGCATTTCCGGATCCGCCGCTTGCTGACACGTACGTTTTTTTTTATCGAGAGCCGCTTCAGTCAATCCTGGTGCTGCCAGGGTTTTTTCTGCCAAAGAAAGAAGTAAGGGTACGTTTCAGGGAGTGCTCTTGGGTGCTCGTCCTGGCACGCGACACAAACAATCTAGCTGGATCCGGCCGGCCAGTTCAATTGGGACACCGGCGCATGGGCTACGCCCTACAAAACGGCCGGAGGAGAGGACCCGCACGGGAGTTAAAACCGCCGGCGAAATTTAGGCGGCCGGCCGGCGGTCACGGTCTGGGTGCGACCACCAGCACCGATGACGATGGGGCAGGCAGTAGCAGTAATTGACCACGGACGCGCGCGGCCGTGTTCCGCGGCCTGGGCAGTGGCCATCATGCATGCATGCATGCATGCATCGCCAGTCGTCGCCATAATTCGATCCATCACCACCGTCGTCCCCATAATTTGAGCCATCATCATAGCCAGACCGGGGTCACCGCGGAGCGAGATCGCGGAAAGAGAGAGGCAACCGCACGAGGCTGGTCTAGTGGCCTGTTGTACCGTGCTAGTGCTACAGCTGAGCGCTGCACTTTCTCGCCACTCGCCACTCGCCACTCGCCATCGCCAGAGGCCTAGAGCGCCTCCGCGGGGTCAAACAGGGCCGTGGAAGTGGAACGATGTGGACTGTGGAGCGCTGTGCTGGCGGGACCAGGGCGGGCTGCCGGGAGTGTTTTGGTTTAGGCCCTGGCAGGGTTTTAAACGTTTCACCTACACATTGCAAAGATGAGTTGAAGACGCTAAAGTTTAAAAAAATAGTAATTTTATCAGTTCTAAGTTTATTTTAAGAGAAGAAAGGAAAATATCTTCTCGTATATAAAGGAACTAGAGCCAGAGACCCCAAAGCTCTAACAAATTAAACTGGACCTTAGTACATGACGATATCTTCGACAGATTACCAAAAGTCTCTCCAGTATGTAATAAAGGGTCGTTTAGAAGATTTAGAGTGCTCCAACAATTATCTAAGGCATCACTAATGCCTACATTTTTCGAGTAATCACCGAAGCACATCTCTCTATGGAGGGATCTACTCTATTGGACAATTAGTGCTAGCGCCATCAAATTCAACGTGCACAGCTATAGGATCGAGAGACGGTGGACTAGAGAAGTGAATAGTACTTTCTAAAATTAATCGTGTCAGCTAATCGAGATAAATATAAAATTAAAACTATCGGTCTAGGTAAGACTACACCCATCTATCTAAGTTCTCAAACACCTTACAAAGATCCTAATTAGAAAACAAAGGTGCCGAGCTAACTAAAGCAAACCTAACCAAATCTAGAAGTAAGGTCACACAAACCTATGCAATTAGTACTTTAAGCACCGAGGAGGTTCCTACACAAACTAGTAAGCAAAAGCACAAAGCTCCTAAACTCACTAGCAGTGCTCAATAACAAAGCT